AATTATTCCAGTGACAGCTCAGATGGTGTGGGCCGCCATAACAGCCGATAGTCGCTCTGCGCTCGTATTAATCGACCTTGGTATCAGAATAAATGCTGAATGTTATCGCGAAAATATTAAAGCCTTGGGCACGCAAACATTTTTTCCGCAGACCTTGGACATTCCAACAGGACTCAGCATCGTATTCAACAAGCGCCACCCAAATGAGGTTGCTCGCTTCATTTCCAGCGCACACTGACCACCAATCTCCGGATACCAATCCGTTGGACTATTGTGTCTGGAGTATTTTGGAAAGCAAGGTTGGCACTAAAAAATACCAAAGTGTCTTTCACCTTAAGAAAGCGCTTTGCGGGAAATGGGCCAAAATACCGCAGAGCAACATTCGGGCAGTGTGTGATGGTTTCATTGGCCGTCTAAACTTATTCTAAACCTTGATGCTATGTCCGACATTTTTTTGATTTTATTAAATAAAATTAAAAAAAAAAAACAAGTAAGCAAAGGCTACAGTCGAGCGGGGCCGACCGTTGAATACCCTACAACACTATAATAAATGATACAGTTTTATATAGGCCAGATACTAGAAAGAAATCCACAAGATATTGTGACAAATAATAAAAGAAAACCATCAGGTTTCGTTCTCTAATTTACGAATAATAGAAACTTGAACTAATTTGCTCATTTCCAATTTATAGGTAGATGTTGCACGTAAATGGTCTTCCTAGATCTGGAACAAATATTTCCCAAAGACCTATAATCTCTCAGAAGTGGCAAAAGATTAACATTTATTATTGGTTTTTGACTAAAACGCATCTATATGAGATACAGACATTTGACTATGTTCTTTAACGAAATCAGCCTTAACGAAATAGTCAGAAGTGAGTCTTTCCTGTATTTGTGAATTATCCAAAAAGTCACTGGAATGGATATTTTCGTATTTTGTCTACAAAAGTTGGCAAATTATTTCACACATTGAATATTTTTGGATGGCCATCCAAAACTGCTTGGCTTTTGCAATGTCCGTCGGGCGATAATTACGACTTGCTGACAATTTTGCAGTTTTTTGGTCCATTTCAACCCCTAAATATATTGCGATTATCTCCAAAGAAAGTAGGCTTCTATTCTGACCCTCATCTTATCCGCATGCAAAATTTCGAAAGGATCGGGCCATAAATGCGATCTGTATATGATATCCGGATATCCTAACTACTTAGTTTTGTTAGCTGTAGAAATATTACCAAATGTTTGATTCAAAATGAAAATATGCCAAAAATATGACAAAATTGAAAAAATATGAGAATATATTACAAAATCAATATTTTCGACTTTAGAGAGATATTTTTATGCGATTTTTTCAGACGTTTTTTCTTTCCTGCCAAGAGGCCATCCTGAATTAATGAGAACTGTCGAAATCAGTTCAGCCGTTCTCGACATATAAGAGATCTTTCAAGCATATCTTCTTTGATAGACATATATATCGCATATATTTTGCTATATATCCGATTTGATGGATGTTAACATCAATGTAAAGATCAGAAGTAACCTTGTTATGGCTTTGTGATTTCGGCGGGATTTAAAATATTCGCGGTTTAATGAAAAATTTTGAATTTTTTCAACACAAAAGATATTGTCTATTTTACCCGCTAAATATTATCGGATGACCACCCAAATTGGTAGGCTTCTTCCCAGACCTAAACTCTAGCTACATGCGAAATTTCGCGTCGATTGGTCTATAATTGCAACCTGTAGAGCAACTGCAAAATCAGGCATTTTTTCAGTTTTTGGTCCATTTCCACCCCTAAATATTATTCGATCATCTCCAAAAGAAATAGGGTTCTATTCTGACCTTAACCCCACCTACGTTCCAAATTTCGTGAAGATCGGGCCATAATTGCGACCTGTAGCGTGATTACAAATTAACATGGACAGACGGACAGACGGACAGATGGACAGACGGACAGACGGACAGACGGACGGACGGACATACATAGCTAGATCGACTCAGCTCGGCGAGCTAGGAAGATCCATATATACTTTCCTATATGGGAAACCAATATTTCGAGGTGTTACATAATTTTTGGCCCAATCAAACTTATAATACCCCAACACATAGTGTTGTAGGGTATAAAAATGTAATAATTATGGCATTTGACTTTGTTGTAGTTTTTTAATCTCAACCTGTATTTATGTATGTCCGTCCATCTGGCTGTGTTAATTTGTAATCACGCTACAGATTGAAGCCTATTGGAGATGATCGCAAGCATATAAAATTATCTTGATTTTGATCTACAGGTCACAATTGTAGAGAGAGAGAGAGAGAGAGAGATAGTTTCATGATTTTGCAGTCGCTCTACAGATCACAATTATAGACCAATCGACCCTGAATTTTGCTATGGGTTAGAGTTTAGAACAGGGCAGAAGTTTAGCATTTTGGATGACAATTGGAATATATTTAACAATTAAAATAAACGACAACTTTTGTGTTAATTTTTTTTGAATACCTTTCAGCATGGAAGAAAGTGTATATATAGGGCAAATGCCGCCTGTCAAAAACATTTTTGCAGAACCATGCAGCAGTAAATTGTTTCAAACATATAATGGATTCGGGCCTAAGAGAGCTTCCATAATATTAAAGGGCTATAAGGTATCACATGGTCGGCCCCGCACGACTATAGCTTTTGCTTACTTGTTTTGTATTTTATTATTATGATGAACACCAATAAATAGGACGATACCAACATGCGGACCGATTTTGCATTATTTCTACAGAGCAAGTACCAAATAATTGCTAATTTTCAAAATACATAAAATCGTGCACCACCATTGTGGAGGGTAAAAAAATGTTTGAATCTCCTAGAAATTTTTCAAAAAATGTTTTACCTTCCACCATGACATGGATGGCGTATTAACCTTGTCATACCGTTTTTAACTTCCTCGAAATACTCATGTCAGACCCAACAAAGTATATATATTCTTGATCAGCGTAGAATTCATACTTGATTTATTGACGTCTGTGTGTCTGTCTGTTGTTATCCCGCTATCTATGGAACGAATTGCGATAGAAGGCTAACATTCTGCATACATGTGTATTTTGCCAATAGGCAGGTTAAGTTCTTAAAAGTCGGTCCACGTTTTCGTATAACCCCCATATAACGGTACCTCTCAATATTCGGTATTTTGATTATTAGAGGGACGTTATTCACCAGTATTGTTTCAAATTTCGTATTTGAAGTTCGTCATGAATAATTCAACGTATGGCAGAAAATTGTCTATGCAGGTTCACGTCTTCGTATACCCCACATATGACGGTGCTCTCTGTTTTCGGTGTTTTGTTGATATTAGCGACTTTATTATTTTTATTTGAAGATCCTAACGATTATTTTATCCTATGACAAAAACAAACACAGATCATCGTCTATTTATAGCCTTCATATAAGGGTTTTCATTTAAACGGTATTTTGCGTGGAAATTTTTTAAAGTTTTTCCAGTTCCTTCCAAATGAAATAAAAATTCGGCCCGGCCGAGCTTTAGTGCCTCTTTTTTTCTTGTTTTTATACCCTACACCACATAGTGGTAGGGGTATTATGTCTTTGTGCATTGGTTTGCAACAGGGATAAGGAAGCGAGATAGACCCATAGTTACTTTTGAGGGTATTCATAGAATCACTTTCTAAGTCGATTTATGCACGTCAGTCAGTCCATGTATTCTTGTGAACAAAATGCAGGTCTTATTTATTATCCGATTTAGATAAAATTTTGCAAACAACATTTTTTGGCCCGAAGACGAAGCCCATTTAAATTGGTGATAATCGGATCAGATTTCTCCCATATATATTTAACCGAATTCGTGTTAATTGTGCACCAAATGACCAATATAAGCACCAATGACCTGAATTTTGGTACATCCCACAGAATTCAGTCTAGAAGCAAGTACATCAAATTTGTAGTAAATCGGTCCAGATATTGCTATAGCTCCCATATAAATGTTTCATCCGATTGGGTGTTTAAGTCCCTCACATTCATAATTTACACTCGATAAAAATAATATTTGTTCCAGATATCAGATACAACCCAGAAATACCTCTGTCAAATTTTATCAAGATCGGTTCAGATTTGGATATAGCTCCCATATATATCTGCAACCGATTTCGGGTTAATTGTGCACCAAATGACCAATATCAGTCCAAATGACCTGTATTTTGGCACATCCGACCGAATGGTAGCTAAATCTCTCACATTCGTAATATGCATTCGACAACAATGACATTTGGTACCAGATAGCTTATAAAGCTCGGAAATACCTTTGCCAAATTTTATCGAGAACGACTAAGATTTGAATATAGCTCCCACATATATCCATAACCCGATTTTTGATTCATTGTGCAAATAATAGCTAATATCAGCCCAAATAGGGTGAATTTTGGGACGTACGTCTCCATTTTGTGGAGATCGGTTCCTACATATAATTTTTTAATATAATCCTTCGCCAATAATTTGACATAAAGTATTAAAATATCTCCATCAAATTTAGTCAAAATCGATTCAGAATTAGATATGCCTCCTATATATCCTCCTTTTAAGTATACACAGTGGTGTAAGGTATCATATAGTCGGCCCCGCCCGACTTTTCATTAGATGCTTCATAAGTCAAAGTTACTACCTGCTTGCGTTGAAATATGTCTTGGACGTAGGTCTTGCTAAGGAGCGATTGTCTCTCGTCTCTCTCAAACTATAAATGCTAGTAAATGCTACCCTTAAGGAATGGACACGCATTCATCGAATATGAGAGTCAATCTAAGCAGATAACCCAACGGAACTATAAGTCCATGTTGTTTCCTTTTACATGTAACCAAAAACTGCACAAAAACATACAACTCAAAAGTTTAGAATACCAAGAGTGGGTTCCTTCTGCAAGAATACGTCCACCTGAAGACATTTATACATAAGTACGTCATTGGAGATTGTAATCAAAATTACATAATTTTACTAAAACATTATAAAACGTTTATTTTTAATTTTTTTTTCTCTATCCTAACTTATTTCTTTAGTCCTGTTATCTATCTAGTTTCTAAATTTAATAAACATAACCTCCATTGGAACCGTATTTAGTATCAATACCGCTGGAAGCACTAGCACTAGAGCTGACACTGGCGCCCTTGTGGCTCACAGAGGTATAGTAGGAAGCCTGTTGTTGGGTGAAATGATCCGAACCGGGTACAACTTGGGCATGGGCTGCTTCTTGTTGATGGCTGACCGAGGTGTAGTATTCAGCTTGTTGCTGGGTAAAATCATCGGAACCGGGAACAACTTCAGGTTCAGCAGCAACTTCTTCAGCTTCAGGTTCGGATTGCTGTTCAGCTTCATTAATGACGGCACCGGTATAATATTGTTGCTGCTCAGTTTCTTCAACAACATTGGTAGAGGTGGCCTCTTCCTGTTCGGGTTTGTAAACCAAACCGGTATAGTATTGTTGTTCGGGTTCTTGTTGGACTTCTTCGACAACAGAATTGGATACAGCTTCCTCTTCTTGTTCTTGTTCGGGCTTGTAGACCAAACCGGTGTAGTATTGTTGTTCGGGTTCTGGTTGGGTTTCTTCGACAGCAGCGGCTTCTTCCTGTTCGGCATGGTGAACTAAACCAGTGTAGTATTGTTGTTGTGGGGCCTGAACTTCATGGTGCACAGAGACGGAAACATGTTTGACGGATTGAGCTTGTGGAATTTCCTGACTCTGTTCAGCATATTCGAAATGTTTGTGGGCCAAGGCAGCCATATGAGGGGGAAGATATTCGTTATTCAAATGGCTGACATCGGCAGCAACAACACCCAACAGGGCCAAGGCAACAATGGCGAATTTCTGGAAAGGAAAATGATTTTTTTAAAATTAGATCGAAATTGGGGTTAAAGGAAAAATTGTTGGATCGTATGTCTGTGTGGATTAAACGAAAACACTTGGTTTTGCCTCCTTCTCATCCTTTTGAATGTTACCAAACTTTGATTTTTTTTTTAATGAATGACTTGCAATTGCCATGTTTTATGAGAACACATCCTTCACACAATTAATAATTAATAAATAATAGCTTACCATTTTCAAAATTATTTTTCAATGCTTATCCCAAGACTATTAATCCCGAACTGGCTTTCTTGATGTCACCAGACGTAAGTATTTATACACGATTCTGAACAGAATAGAAACTTTGACTGAGATAAGAATTCGAACGTAACATAAACTAAGCTTTGATGCCATACATTAATTCAGCATAAGAATCCACCAACATTCAACCAACAAAGCCGGAGCATCATCTCAGAAAAAAAAAACCAACAACATGCAAGACAGCTTTTGTAAAATCAAACTTAAAAAACCATCAAAGAATCGAACAATCGGTAGCCCAGAAATAAACACAAGCCAAAAAAAAAAAATAATAATAAAAACAAATAAATATTTATATCCATATTAATTAAGAACATTAGCCGAAAGTCCATTCTATATTGAGATTTAGAACTTATTAAAACAAAACTTCATTTGTTTTGCCTGACAGACAGCTACGCCTAATGTTATCACATTTCCAGCAGCACCACCACCATCGGCCAGAGCATGTTCTTAGACTAGTTTATTTCACCAACACCAGGCCAGAGTTCACTGACTGAGTGTGTTTTTGTGACTTTTTATGGCACCCTATAGTAAAACGAAAACAGGCCTATTCAATTCACACGGATTCGCAATTTGTTTATAACATGCCATAATTTGTCGTCTCGAAACTTGACTTCCTGCACCGAAAACTTATTTTATTTTGATCAAATTATAAATAAAAAATATTTTTAATGATTCATGCTCTCGCATGAGAAGGACCATTTCTTTACCCTACACCACCATTACAAATGGTATTAGGTTATCACTTGGTTTTTTTATTCAGATGATAGATTTGTTTTTGTGCGACTCGACGCCAACAAAATCCTATTATAGATCAATCGACTGGGCATAAGCGGAATAATATGGAACAACAGTACTTTAGTAAAACCTGTCAGATTTTTTTTAATTTTTTTCCAGATGTAGGTACTTGTACCCTGACTCCGGGGATGCAATTTTCTTGGGGGACGGACCTGGATACCCGGATATTCTTCCCGAAGGTCTGGGTCCAAGACCCGAGTTAGACCCGAATCTATAAAACCAATATGGATAATGAAAAAACCTATCCACTAAAATTAGGCATATATTTCGTGGACTCCTGGCATGGGACCTTTGGGGGATTTTTAAAGAGTTTGGATCTAAAAAACCGATAATTTTTATATGACTTCCGAACCGCCATCATGTTGGATAGCTTTCAAATTTAGCTTTCAAATTATATCTATATTATCCATATCGTTTTTGTAGATCCGGGTCTCTCTCGGGATCCGTTCAAATATCCGGGTACCTGTGTCTGTCCCCGAGGGGAAATTCTTACTCTGGAAAAAAAATAAAAAAAAAAAACAAGTTAAAAGGCAGTAAGTTCGGCCGGGCCAAACTTTGAATACCCTCCACCATTTGGAACGAATATGGAAATTTTCAAACAATAAAATCCGTTAAAATTTCAGTTAAAATCTTAAAAATAGCAAATATAGCCCTTATATTAGGGTATATACTACGTGGACCTACATAGACATTGTTTGTTATAAGCCGTTACCCGTTATAAAAAAAATCATCAAAATACCGTATATAGGCGGGTACCGTTATATCGGAGCTATACGAAGACCTGGACCTGCATAGACAATTTTCTGTCATAAGCTGTAGCATCCATTACGAGCTTCAAATACGACATCTCAAAAAATGTTGCTGAGTATTTTACCTAAAATCGTCAAAATACCGAATATAGGAAGGTACTGATATATGGGGCCTATACGAAGGCCTAGACCTACATAGACAATCTTCTGTCACGGACCGTAGTTCTCATTACGAACTCTAAATATGTAATTTGAAACTACTTCGGTGAATAATGAAGCTAAGATCATCAAAATACCGAATATTGGAAGGTACCGTTACATGGGGGCTATACGAAGACGTGGACCTGGCACAAACAATTTTCTGATGTAGGCTGTAGTATCCATTTCAAACTTCGAATACGACATCTCAAACAATTTCGGTGAGTATTGTACCTAGAATCGTCAAAATATACCCAATATAGGGAGGCACTGATATAGCGTATATGGGTTTGGTAGGTACCGTTATACGGTGGCTATATCAAAACGTGGACCTACATGACCCATTTACTTAACTTAACCTGCCTACTGGCAAAATAAACATGTGCACAATTTTGGCTTTCTACCTCAATTCATTCGAAAGATAACGTGATAACAACAGACAGACGGACAAACAGACACACAGACAGACGGACATCGCTGGCATGAGTACTTCGAGGAGTTACAAACGGAATGACAAAGTTAATATACCCTCCATAGTATGGTGGAGGGTATAAAAATCGGAGGAGAAGCCATTTACTTAGGAGTACTTTTTGTGGAATCGTTAATATTGGACAGAGGTCTGAATTTTTATACCCTGCACCACATAGTGGTATGGGTATTATGTCTTTGCGCTTTTGTTTGTCACAGGGAGAAAGAAATGGGATCTTCCTAGAGTCACTTTCTGAGTAGATTTATGCATATTATGATTTATGCATATATCCGTCCATGTATTTTTGCCTTGAATTGAATTATTATCCGATGAGATGAAATATCGCAAACAAAATTTGTTTGCCCCAAGGACGAACCCGATTGAAATTGGTGATAATCGCATAAAATTTGGATATAGCTCCCATATATAGTGACGTTCGATTTCATTGTGCACCAAATGCGTAATATCAGTCCGAATCAAATGAATTTTAGCAAACACTGCCATAGTCCAGAAGTATGTCTGGCAGCTTTGTTGAATAACGGTTCAGATTTAGAAATAGCTTTCATATATAATTTCGTCCGATTTCAATTTTATTGTGTGCCATTTGTGTAACATTCTTCCAAATGGGATGGATTTCGGCACATGCGATTGAATTCAACTCAGCAGTAAGTTCTTCAAATTTGGTGAAAATCTGTTCTTCCTTTAAATATGGGTTTAAGTCCCTCACATTCGTAGTATGTACTACCAGATATCATATTCACCCCAAAAATAGGGGTTAAAATATTGGATAAAGTTCCAAAATATATATCTTCATCCGATTTGACCAGATATGTAATATCAGAAAAATTGGATGATTTTTAGCACATCTAAATACGACATATTCAGCCTTTAAAAATCTCGAAGTTCAAGAATAAACTACAATAAGAACACACATCTATGTCACTGAACTAATAGACAAAGAATTCCGCTGTAGGGTATTAATATGCCCCGTATGTTTTAAATAAAATAACATATTTATTTAAAGCCAAAGATGAAAGCTTAAATTATTAAAATCCGTTTCGAAAAATTAAGAAAGCCATCATCGAAATATCTATACAGAATTATTAATGTCTATTAAATATTTTAGACGACAAGAAGATGAATTAATAACAAAAAACAAAATACTAAACCTCCATAAAAAAGAAGCTGGTCACGTTTTAAAAAACCTAACAAAAAAACGCTTTCGGTCGTAATTCAATTTGTAGAAGATTACGTATTTCATTTTGAAAAGGCCAATATGTCTGTCATTTATAATCATTAAGAATTTGGTACATTACAAATTGAGATTTCTAATTTACAAAATGACGCAACTATTTATTTGTCAAAACAAGAACGGCAATGCGAATTGAAGCTTCTCTTAATTAAAATATTCTAAAGCAGGAACTAAAAGAATCGAAATAGGTGAAAGTTTCAAATTAGTCGAATATTTAAATGAAACATTAAGTGGTATACAATTATGCAAATCATTTGAGATTTCTTTGGTTTTTGGTTTTTAAAAATAGTCTTAAATACGGGATATTCTTGAAATTGTAAGCATTCTGCTTGTGTCAATGGCTAAGAGAGCCCACCTTTTTAAAATAAAATAACCTCAAAAGTAAGGGGAGGTTCATTTGTTTTTTTCCTTCCACCTAATGCTGGCTTTCCACTTCAGCTATTAAATACAAGGAAAAACGGGTGCTGTGTAGAAATTTGATAGCCTAAGCAAGGCGCCAACCTTGGCCGGTCCTATATTTTAATATGAGTTTAACAGTTCCGACATTAATTTCGGGACACAAATGAGTAACTATTTTTGGATACTAAAAAAACGACTATTGATGACTAATTTATGTTTGTTGTTGAAGTTATCTATCGGTAGCGCCAATAAAGTCGGTAGATGAAAAGCAAATCGGGATTCTCCATTTAGGACAGGCATAAGTGGTTTACAGTGTCGTTGGCATTATTGCCGATAAACACACGAGGATTATTTTCGAAGAACCTCAGGCGAGTCAACAAAGACACTTCTTCTTGATCTTTTTTTACACCCTCCACCATACTATGGAGGTTATATTAATTTTGTCCTTCCGGTCGTAACTCCTCGAAATAAGCATTTTAGACCCCACAAAGTATATATATTCTTGATCACCATAAAATTCTATGTCGATTTAGCTTTCGAAAAAAATGAAGTAGGTTGATAAAATTTTACTCAAATGTGTATTATGTCTGCAGGACTTTTGGTATTGAAAATGGGTCATGTAGGTTCACGTTTTGGTATAGCCCCTATATGATGGTACCTCTTTTTGGTATTTTGGTGATTTTAACGACATTATTTACCGGAAATGTTTTAAATTTGGTATTTGAAGTTCGTAAAGGATACTGCAGCCTATAATAGAAAATTGTCTGAGCAGATCCACGTCTTCGTATACCGCCATATAACGGTATCCCCCGATATTCGGTATTTTGATGATGTTAGCGTCATTATTCACCAGAATTGTTTCAAATTCGGCTCTCCATCAGTGACTCTCATCCCAAATTTCAGAATTTCAGCTCAATACAAAGTAATTAAATATACCCTCAGCCATATGCCTAGATTGGGTATATATCATTTGAAACGGTCAAAACGTACCTAGTCGAAATAACGGTTTTAGACCCTAGGTCCCTTTGGGCCAAATCCATTTCGGGACATTTGGATTCGATCTAGCGATGTCCATTCGTCCGCCCGTCCGTCTGGCTGGTGCGCACGTTAACTCTTGGAGGAGTATCCGATTTGGTCCAAACTTGGTACATCGTCATATTTTTGCCAAACTTAGATCGAGTTCGGA